TTTATACCTAAAATTGGTTTTCGAAGTACTTACTATAGATGATGTACGCAAATGAGTTCTATTCACTGTGTGTCAATGGATGAATAAGATGCACTACTATATTCCATTAATAGAAGATCCATATATTTCAATTTAATATCCAAATTCTTCAACTCAATAAAATCAAATATCATACCTTTATTTAATATCAAACCCATGTACAAAAGAAGAGATAAAAAAGCTCCAAATAATATGGAGACAAAACAATAATAAAAAATTAAGAAAAAAATATATTTATTATAAGAAAAACACATATCAGTTAAATTGAAATAAATAAAATAGTACAAGATCAATTGTTACTCCAAACTAAAGGTGATGTTTGATTGGGGATAAGTAAATTAGAGAATTGTGACTTTCAGGAAAGTGCATAAAATACTTATGTTAGTTTGTATTTTCAATTCTATTTTTCGAAGTACTCTATCCTACTTTCCTTACATAAGGGAAGCAATTTCTTTAGAGATGACTAGGGATGTTGCACTTATTCCTTAGTTAATTTACCATTTTGTCCTATTATCTAAACACATATAAATTTGTATTATGAACAATATTGTCTTTTGTAATCTGAAAGTAATTTGCTTCCCATGAAGTTGACTTGTATACTAAATATATTCAAATTATACTTCTTAGAAAATAATTTCCTTGTAAGTGGACATATCTTTCCGAGAAATATAGAAAATAGACCATTTTGAATTTGTATTATGAACAATATTGTCTTTTGTAATCTGAAAGTAATTTGCTTCCCATGAAGTTGACTTGTATACTAAATATATTCAAATTATACTTCTTAGAAAATAATTTCCTTGTAAGTGGACATATCTTTCCGAGAAATATAGAAAATAGACCATTTTGAACCAAAAGATGCCAAAAATTAAAAATTTGAAATCTTTAATTTTTAAAAATATGAAATGATTTAGTTATTTTCTTAGTTGCTGTGAAAGTCAAAAGTTGACAAATTAAACTGAACAAAGGAAATATTCGATAAATAGATAGCCACTAAAAATTTGTGATAGATTTTTATTGAAGTTAAGGTACAATGAAAGAAACGAGAAATTGAGATTAAAAAGTTACAATCTTATCTAATTAGTATGAAAATAGGAAAACGTGTAGAAAGGTGAAAGCCGGAAAGGAAGAAGAAGAAAGCATGAAGGAGACGCATTGACCTCAACAATAGTCAACTGGATCATGTTGTGTATGTCGTGCATGTATATATACAAATATTAGTGACCAAAAAGAAAAAGGGTTTCAGTGTAAAGGACAATGGTTAAGTCCTCGTCTTTGATTAAATATGTAATTTACAAAAATATTTAAAATAAATTGTATTACTTTATAATAGGGAAACTATATAATAATTTCCTATTAATCTAAAATGTTTAATAAGCATTAAAAAAATAAATAAAAATTTTTTGTTTCTTTTCTTCATTCTTAGGTTGTTGCATTCTTGATTGCACAAAATGGGTTAATTTTATTTATTTCAATAATTTCCAGTCACTAATAATAATAATAATAATAATAATTTTCTACGGCAAGAAATTATGCTCTATATTATATTATAAAAATATAATATAATGATTTTTGCCGTTTAGACCTGTTCGTTTGGGCTTGTTACCACGCTTCCAATGCATATAATGAAAAAAGAGGTAAAAAAAGATTATTGCTTTCTAAAATCCAAAGTGAAAGAATATTTGGTAAGTTGTCTTTGACACGTAACATAAATGAACTTGTCTGGACGAGATTTCAAATGGGTTTTTTAGAATCTTTCAAAAGGGATTGTGTGTTTGAAATTTTTGTTTTAGTGTCAGCTTCTCCATTGACAATCATGCACATGTTTTCCTCAAGAATGTTTTTTTTTCTTTCAAAAGGGATTGTGTGTTTGAAATTTTTGTTTTAGTGTCAGCTTCTCCATTGACAATCATGCACATGTTTTCCTCAAGAATGTTTTTTTTTCTTTGTTCAGGGCAGAAGCTGTGTTATTGACTAAGCTATGTAAGTTTTATAGCTATTAGGGTTCTTCCAATTCAAAATGTGGTCAGTTCTGCACAACTTAATTATCATTGACTGAGACATGTCTGGTTGCAGGTGTTAATTAAACTTCATCAGATAAAAATAGGTTATTTTAAAGCAAAAGTGAAGGCAGAATAGAAATCTAGCTACCTATGCTAGTTTTGTACAAGACTTATCGTAGCTTTCTAATTTCTTGGCTAATATCTCAGCTGTAAATCACCTTCAATAAAAAAAATCTTTTAAGTGATTGTGATTTGCTAATTTTAAAAATGATTTCAGAAAGAAAAAAAAAGAAGACTTTGTATGCAATCAATACAAGGTATTTATTATCTGAAGAAACTTAATTTAACATGGGTATTCCAAGAAATTTCAGTGTAAAAGTCGGTGTTGGATAGATTCAAATTCCAAATATAATTTATAGGATCATGTCTTATTTATGACTTCCTTTATGAAACCTGCAATTCTTTCTGCAACAATGAGCTTTCTTGGCTTCTTCTAAAGTGGAGAGTATATCCCTAATATCACGCTCTAAATGTAGTGGGCAGCCCTTAGCTTTTAGTACCTTTTTGAGGTGCTCTAAGCCCCTCAAAGTTGACATATTAGCACATAAGGTCAAGGGCAAAATTGACGCCCCATGCTTTCAACAGATAAAAAATTAATTTAAAAAAAAATAGTGCCAAAAGGAAAGTATTGCTTTTGGGTAAGTTAGGGATTTGGTGTTGTGCTTAATGGGGCATTTTGTATTATACTATACAACAAATTTCCATGACCTCGTAACTCATATAAGGTGTTCCTCAACAGACAAGAAATTTCCTAGTATTTAAATTGATAAAACATGCATATGCTAAAAGTTGTTTTTTTTCCTAGTGCAAATATAGGTTTAATTAGTGTAATTTCGATACCAACAAATTAGAAAGTGAATTTGCCCATATCTATACTGTTAATATTTCGATACCAACAAATTAGAAAGTGAATTTGCCCATATCTATACTGTTAATAATAATTTTTCATTATATTTCATAATATATTTTTTACTTTAAAATTATGCTCAAGCATGAAGTCTTTCTTAACTTCTTTTGCTTGCTTTTTTTTTACCAATATTTTGATTGCATTTGGGAAGAAAAAGATAAAAAAAGTTCTAATACTAAAAAATCTTTAAAATGAAAATCATTCATTGATTTGGTATATGAATTGTTCTATACATGAGGAATAGGTAAATAATTTTCATTATATAAAAAAATGTATGGATTTTATAAATTGTACAAATTTATTTATCCAACATAAATTTATTTATCCAAGAATTATAATTACATCTTTCATAAAGTTTGTAATTTTCATATTTATATTACATAAAAATATTTTATATTTAAAATTAATTAAAACTAATATAAGTATATAAGTTAAAAAAAAAAGGTGTTGAAGCGTGTGGGTTGACATTGATTAAATACAAACTATGTAAATGCATATAATAAAAAATAAGCTCAACTCATTATAAGTATAATATTAAATATATAATTAAATTTGATTAATTTGCTCACAGGCAAGATTCTCAATAAAAAGTAAATAAATTTAAAAAATTTATATCACTCTTCGACCCCAACTCTCTGTTCTGTCATTTACGCCAGAGAAAAACTCCCAAAAAAAGGTTAATAATTTAATCTTTATTGACAATTCAACTATCGAGGGGTCTTGCACCTAAAAACCTTCCCGCTTGAGCAACACGTGATTATGTTAATCACGTGACCTATCTTCAGAAAACAACAAGAATTGCCGTGCGCCAAATTTAATCTTTATTGACAATTCAACTGTTGATGGGTCTTGCACCTAAAAACCTTCCCGCTTGAGCAACACGTGATTATGTTAATCACGTGATTATGTTAAAGTTCTCCCTTCATTCGTACTTTTATATATATATTATAGATTGATAGTTGTTGCATGATCTATTAAATAAGGAAATAACTTAATTTACATTTATGTTCAACAAAATTTTGTTGCTAAATTTTTAATACATATTCACTAAGTAGAATTGTCCAAATTAACCGCTTTTATTCGTAGAATTGTCCAAATTAACCGCTTTTATTCGCAAATTCTAATTATAATGAGCATTTTAAAAACAATCATAAGTTCAAAGAGCATGCAAGTGGATGTCTTAATCAAAGAAAGGAAAATGAATTTTGTAATGCTTTCACTTTAACGAGACGATGAATTTTGTAATGCTTTCACATTAACCTAATATTATATTCATCAATAATTATAATCTAACATTCCTCTAGAAAAAGTTATAATAATAATAACAATTTCTTTTTAATTATAATGCTTATTTACTATGCACACGCATACATGTATATATACATTTATTTATTTATTTGAACATACCTCTAATTAATTTTATAACATGTATATATACATTTATTTATTTATTTGAACATACCTCTAATTAATTTTATAGAAATAATAATAATAATTTATTTTAACATCTTTTTTTGGCTCTCCTACATCACGCTTACTAGCTCTGCGTGCACCATCTTACAGTTTGGTAATACACAGGTGAGAAAGTTGGGGCATTTTGCTGACTTCTTCCTTAGCGAACTTATAAGTTTCGCTGGGTCTACTCCACTTCCGATCACTTCTAGCTGGTTTTTATCCTTTTCTCCTAAAGCCACCGATTGCACCCCTGCTCGATGCAATAATCAGCAAAAGTTTTTAAACATATAGAAGTAATTGAAACCAAGAACAAGAACCAATCAATTCTAAGCGTTTAGATAAAATTTCTGTGAGGATATATCAAGAACAAGAACCATTCAAACCAATTCATATCTCTAACAAGTTTCCAGAAACACAAAAAAGCAGCACGCTGTGTAATTTGTAACTTACCATGAACGCCAACCGCGATTTGCAGAGCCTTTTTGCGAGACTCATCGCAATTCATGGAAACCTTGATCACCATCTTTTTCTGCACCGGTTGACAGAAAATTAAGCGATTTTTATATTGCACAGTATATAAATATAATTAAAACAAAGTTTCCGAATGATCGATGTTTGTGTAAATATATACTAACCGGCATGCTTGTAATGGTTGTAATGGTTGTAATGGTTGTAAAGGTTGTAGCCTTGATCACCATCTTTTTCTAAGCGTTTACACCAAACTAATTAAAAGCTTCAAGTTTTGTGGGTTAACGGCGGTGGTGGTGGTGGAGAAGGATTAGTTAGCGACTTTATTCTGCTGTGGACTGGATGGTTGGGTGCTGGTGTTACGGTTTGTCATGCTATTTTATAGGCATGAGGCCATTACCTTTTTTGTTTTTTCCCTTTTTCTTTTCTTTTTTTTTTTTTTTTTTTTTTTTTTTTTTTTTTTTTTTTTAGGAAGGCATGAGGGAATTTCTTTCTGTTTCTAAAATATACGCGTAATAAAATTCGGCTACTGGGCTTGCTTAGTTGAATTAACATTCTTAAGATCTTAGTAAAAATTTTAGTTTTGGCCAAAAAAATAGTTAAGAAATAAGGACAAATTATGCATTAATATTGAAATTTAAAAATTAACGAGGTCTGTTATAATTGGTTTTCTTATTAATGCAAAGAATAAGACATCTACTGTTACTATTACTACTCTACTTCTACTACCTACAATTATTTTTTCTACTGCTATTGCTATTTCTACCGCTGCGACTATCAAAGTTTATAATAGTATAAATTGCTAAAGATAAAAATTAATTAATTACATAATTACAATAAGTGCCAAATACCATTTAGATAAAAATAAATAAATTACAAAGTAAGAAAATTTATAATATATATCTCCCGGTACCGAGAACAAAAGCTTTCATATTTAATATATAAAAATTAGAAATGTTATTTTTTATTGGTTGGATGTCAATGTCATGTAGAATTGCTGAATTAGAAATTTAAAATTAATTAAATACAAACTATGTAAATGAGATATAATAAAAAGTAAGCTCAATTTATTATAAGTACAATAGTAAATAAATTTAAAAAATTTATGTCACTCTCTGTTCTGTCATTTACGCCACAGAAAAACTCCCAAAAAAAGGTTAATAATTTAATCTTTATTTAATCTCTTAATTGGACAATTCACTGTTGATGGGTCTTGCAACACTAAAAACCTTCCTGCTGAGCAACACGTGATTATGTTTTAATCCCAATCACGTGACCTATCTTCAGAAAACAACAACAATCGCCGGTGCGCCAAATTTTTTTTCTTAAAAAGTTGAAAATATAGTAAAAAAAGTGAAAAAATTATATTCGTTTAAAAAATGATAGAATTGATAGTATAATATGTAAAACTATATTAAATTAATAGTTTTTTTAAAAAAATCTATAAATAATTGTTTAGAAGCTATTTGAGTTGTTGAGTTTTAAGGTAATATTTTAGGAAATTATTAGTTATATAAACGCTTTAGTTTATTAAGAAAAATAAATGATTGTTAAATAAAATATGATATTTAAAATTACGTATATTTTTAATAATATAAATATTTTTTTTTAATTTTCTTTAAACTATTAATTTATTGTATTGCGATTCTATTTTTAAATATTTTAACTTTACTTGTTGTCCTCAATTTTTTATTTCTATTCCTACTTTTAATAATAACAGTTGTTTGGGCCTGTCCAATATTAGCTTATTCCCTGAGTAGCCTGTTTATTAAGCTAATTTTTTAATAAGTTGTTAATTATTTTAGTAAGCCATTAATTATAGATGTTAGGCTGTTAAATAGTGGTTAAAGTGAAAATGTTAATAAAACAGCTATTTGATTGGTAATAAATTATAATGACAAGAAAGGCCATTGAAATATTCATCTATGAATTTTCAAATTAAATTCATTATAAAAAATATTCATCTATACCTAAATTTTCAATCTTAAGGGAGCAAAAAAATTGAAAAGCTTCATATATTTTATAAATAAAATGGAAAATTTTTAATATTTGAGGTGATCAACATTTTTAATTTTTAATATTTGTTTGAGTTTAAATACAAGCATAAAAATAACGGTTTTTTTTTATTGTCAAATATAAATAAGTCAAATATAAAGATAATAAAACATGTAATGTGATAACATAAGGATTTTATATTAATTAAGGATAAGGATAAGGTTGTAAAAAAAATTTAGTTAAAAAAGTGAAACGCTAAACGTTTATGGGATACTGTTTTAGAAAATACTTCATGAACCTCTAAAAGCTATTATGTATATCAAGTTACTCTGTATATCAAGTTACCGAACACAATAATTTACAGAAATAGTTTTTTGATTAGTAAATAAATGTTTCAATTAAAAAATAAATGTTTCAGCCACTTAACATTTGAGGAAATTTTCATTTTACATGCATCAAACACCTTACCCTGTGATTAAATTGAAAATTTATTTACTTTTATTTTCTAATGTATTTTTAATATAATAATTTTAATAGTCTAAGAGAATGGACAATTCATTAAATATTTACTTGTTTAATTTTATGAAAATTTTTTAAAAAATTTATATATTTTATTAGAATTTGATTTAGTTATATTTAAAAATATAATTGAATTTTGTAAAACTTAAACTTTTAATTTTTATTTACATTTTTATTTCAATAACATTTTGTAAAATTCGTTTATTCCAAATAACCCGGTGTAATCGTTTATTCCAAACATTTTGTAAAATTCGTTTATTGCTAGGGGTGGCCAAAATCCGGATTTCGGAACCAGAACTGTCGGTTCCGAACCGGTGGGAATCGGAATCGGAGGGAACCGGTCCAAACCGGCTCGGTTACGGTTCCACTAGTTTTGGAATCGTGAACTGGCGGTTCCAGCTCCAGTCGGAACCGACGGTTCTAGTTTCATCTGAAACCGGTCGGAACCGTCCTAAACCGATCTGAAACCGGTCGGAACCGTCCTAAACCGATATGAACTGTCGATTTTAGAACTGTTGAGGAATCGAAACCAGAACCGGAATCGTTCGGTTCCAAACCATAATCGGAACTATTAATTTTTCGGTTCGGTTCCGGTTCTAAATTTTTTGAAATCAGAACTGTTGGTTCCGGAACCAAAACTGGCGGTTCCGGAACCGTGGCCACCCCTATTTATTGCTAATATTTTGTAAATTGCCTACTTTTTGTAAAGCGTTCAAGTACGACTAATATTGTTTTAGTTGAATCAATGTGAAATAACGAAGAAAAGTGGAGTACTTGAATAGTAGAAACGTGTATTGTCCGGGTCCTCGCATGTTCTGCAATACACATGCGATGATGCGAGGAAAGATCGTATGTGTGTATATATATGAATACATATATGTGCGTACAGGGCAGATCCACTTCGTATATTCATCGAGTTAAAAGGCTGTCTTTCTTTCGTTTGGAGTTTCAAAAGACTAAAGGCTAAAAGGTATGCATGCAAAATACTTCTCTTACTTATATTTTGTGAGTTCTTTTCTGCTATTAATACTATATTTTAACTAAACATGCATTTTGCAGTATCATCATTAAACATTTCAGTTATGTTCCGACATTAATGAATTATTTGCTTTTTTTTTCTTTTTGTGCATATGTTATTTTTTCTCGAAAATATCTGAACCCTGTCATTTTTTTTCTTAAGAAGAAACCCTTTTCAGGATGTTTTAGGTTGTGGAATGTAGGTTCGCCATAGTTCCGGTTTCAAAAAATGTGGAATCATAACATAAATAAAAAAATGTGGAATCCCTGGTTCCAGGCTGTTCATATAATTTTAAAATAAAAAATTTAGAATCAGAACCAAACCGAACTCTCGATTCCGTTTTCGCACGGTTTCGATTCTAGTTGCAACTAGTTCCAAGTGGCAGTTCTAGTTTCGAACATCGAATTTTGGCCATCCTAGTAGAATGTTATTTGATAATTGTAGCACTTCTCGCAAGAAGTTAATAATCCTAAAATTTGGCTGATTCTCCATGTGACCTTGCATTTTACGAAAATTTAATTATAATCTTATACTTTCACATCTCAGTAATAACTACATCTCTCAGCAAAATAAAATAACTTTATGGATGTTCAATTATGACTATGCACTTTCATGTTTCATTTTGGTAAGAGACGTGGTTATTACTGAAATGTGAAAGTGTAGGGTTATGATAGATTCCCATAAAGTTTGAAAACCATAAAAATAATCGCCAAAAGTACAAAATCAAATTGATGTAAGCCAATCAAAAACTCAAGTTTGTAATTGTAAGTAAACAGCAAGAGTAATTTATATTTTGAATATTAATATTTTTAATTTTTAATTTTTGGTGATGGTTTAAGCTCTTTTCTGATTTTTCCGAAATAATAGTATCATGTATTCGCCAAAATAGTCAATAATGACTAATGACGTGAAAAAAATTACCTATAATTAATAAGTTGAAACTTCTTGTCGGTCTCAGTTAAGGCTGCACATGACCCCTTATACCGATCCAATCCGAGCCGCCCAACTCAACCCGGCGGAATTGAAGATACAATGGATTGGGTTGGGCGGGTTATCTTTACAATTCATGGGTTGAGTTAGGATGGATCACATATTCATTAAATGAACCTGCAGACCCGACCCAACTCATAAATAAATTATGAATTATTTAGTTGATTTGATTTGATTTGCATTGATTTTGAATTTGCAATTTTGAATAAAATACTAATAAATACTAAATTATTTACATATTTAGTAGAGATCACGTTTGTTCTTGGAGTATATTGTAGTTTAAATTAAACATATTATATAATTATTTTAACGAGTATTTTTAATTTACTAATTGTTTTTTTTATTAAGAAATTTAATTTTTCTTGTTGATTATGATTATGATTATGATGATAATAATAATGAACATGTTAAGAAATTTAATTTTAATATTGTCATTAAAATATATTTATAGTTTGTGAGAATTATTGTATACTTAAGATTTTAAGTATATTTAATTTTTTTTATTAATCCTTTTAAAGAGTTGTATTTTATTAAAAAATAATTTTATTATTATCATTTATTTGATCCACGGGTTTATACTGAATCCGTACTCAACCCAATCCAATTCGTTTATAATATGCGGGTTCACGTATTTAATGAATTGAGTTGGGTCAAAAAAAAATCATTGATCTGCATATATAGGTCAGGTACTTTAAATCAATCAATCCGACCCACGTGCTGCCGTAGTCACAGCGAATTTTATTGATGTTGATGAACAAAGTAAAGACACATGTCTAACAAATGTCGAAATCTAGTTTGTATATATCATTTTGGATTGTGTTAGTCTTCATATAGCATCATTTTATTTTTTTTAATATGAATTTCATTTTTCAAGAACTTTTGCAATTCTTTATATTTTACCTTTGATTTCTTTGCAATTCTTTATATTTTACCTTTGATTTCAGGTATTTACACAATCTTTCTCGTTTTTTATGAAAATTAAATTCATATATTGAAGGGATTTTTCACAATATAAAATGATATATAAATATTTTACAAAAACCCATATCTTACTTGAATTTCTCATAATTAAACAAAAGATTTTTATTTTTCAATTGACAAAACTAGAACATTCAATCTCACATGCAAAATTTTGTTTTGCAATATAACATTTTTGAATCAGGAAAATGTCAAACCTAGATTCAAGAGAAGGGAATGTGGATATAGAGATTTTAATCAGTGGAGGATAAATTTTGATACATCTGTAGATTTCATGTTATTTTTTTGAATTAAAGAAAAGATTAACATCAAACTGAAAATATCTTATTTGAATTCTTCAAATCAAACTTAATTAGTGTTAACTGCTATTAATCTTTGAAATTTAACATAATTTACAATTAATTAGAACACCTAACTTTAAATTCAAATTAATAGGTCTTTACAATTTGTTTTTGTCAACCATTTAGTCTTTTGTTCAACTTTCTATTTAGTCAAAAAAAAAAAGGATAAGATAAAAGGCTTAAGATTTCGAAGATAAATAACATTAAATAGGTTATAATCGATTTTTTTTTTTTTTTTTTTTCACGAATTCAACATTTACGCCAGTTTGGAATAAATGGATAAATAATGTAAATTTTTAGGACAACTATTTTATCTTTTTAGCCTTTTAAAAGGTAATTTTAAGAAAATAAAAGTAATCAATTTTAAATTTATTGCCAACATGAAAAACTTATATATAAATGAATTTTACATTTTAAATTCAATTATATCAAACTGAGTGTATTAAATTAAGTCTAGAAATAGTTCAAAAAATTAAATGATAAGATGCGTTAAATCAATTTTTAAAATAAAAGTCTTAAATTTATGAATAAGGTCAAACCTCTAGAACTAATTAATCTATACATATATTGATTTTTTTTTTTTATACTTGCACGAGGTATCTAGACACATATCAGTTTTAACGGCTCACAAACTTGACTAATTTCTACTCGCCCTCGGAGGTAAAAGGACTGACTTGAGAGAAATATATCGATTGATTTTCTTAATTGATATTTTAATATTTAAATAAAAATAATTTTTCAATAAAAAAATGTTTATTCTACTTTTGGTTAATTAATTAATTTGGGAGTAATGTATAAATATAAGTTGCCGTCATATTTATTATATTTTCTTCAACAATTCAACTGCGTGAGCAAAGAGGAGATGATAACTTTTTTGAATGGAGAAAATATATCCTATCCATTGGTTTGAGATAAATATATGAACTAATCTCGTTCTAGAGGTAATTCTTTCCCGCCAACCACACGTTCTATGTGCTAAATTAATCAAGAGAAACATGTTTGTTTACCAACCATTTGAACAAATTAATCTTCACCCTCTTAGCAGTTTTCATCAATTGTTTATTCTAAAAAGCAGTGTTTGAGTCATTGATTTCATCGCCGTATTGCATCATCAATTGTTTATTCTAAAAAGCAGTGTTTGAGTCATTGATTTCATCGCCGTATTGCAAAGAATTGAATTGATCAATTCAATTTTGTACTTCCAAAGTTGACAGATTTTTCATTTTGTTTTTATTTAGGTTGATTTTACAGACATATGCTGATTATATCAACTGAAACTGTCAAAACCAAACTCTTCTTTATTAATCCGAAGGACAATTCAGATGTATATGCAGAGAGATTATCTCTCTATTAAATAAAGAATCACATATTGAGAACCAACAAACTCTTTCATATTCTTATGCAAGTTCACCACTATCCAACAATCCTATTCCTGGAGCTGCACCATTTTCTTTTTTCTGATATTTAAAAAGGAAGGTAAGTATATATGTATAGCTTGAGTCTTGCCCTTTATGTATTTGATAAAATGTCTCAAGGAAAAATCAAGACTATCCTACAATGTATTAGATTCTCTTTTCCAAATTTGGAGTTCGGGACAAAGTTCTCGGAAATTTCCTTTTAGATAAGGATAAGATGCTTTCTACTTACAGAAGATGCTTCTTAGCTTACAAGAAAATGCTTTAAAGAAAAAAAATAAAAGGAATCTTCTTTTTTTTGGCGGCTCGTTCCCCAAGGTTGCATTATTATTATTAAAACGTGGCTAAGCGCAGTCACAGTAGAATGCCTTTGAAGGATCAGATTGGTTCGCTGAAAAGCAGTGAAATTGAGGGCAGGGTTTTTTTTTTTTGGGAAAATTTTTTGGGCTTTGATGGGGCAGTTGAATGATTTATATGATAGAGTTGTTGTAGAAATGGAAGCAGCATAATGGAGCGCCGACATTTTTGTTCCTTACTTAGACCTTTACTTAGAGCCTCCCTTTCACAATGGAAGCAACAGGTAATTATTATCGACACTGTTTGTGATTCGTCCATAAATATAAGTCATTTTAGACTTTTTTTTTTTTTTGCCCCCACAAATATAAGTTGAGAACATTAAGAAGTATGAATGAATTTTTTTCTAATTTTACCATTATATGTATTAAGCATATTAACTTATTAATGATGGAAGGTAAAGAGTAATTTAATTAAATTAATGAACTTTTTTGTTATAATGTAAGGAATTAATTCCTTTCTTAATTTAGTAAAAAAAAATCTTAAACGATTTATATTTATGGATAGATAGAGTAATAGTTTGTCATGTACTCTTAAACGATTTATATTTATGGATAGATAGAGTAATAGTTTGTCATGTACTCATTAAATCATTATTATTTTGTTGTGTTTTTATTAGGGGAAGAGAGGTGTTTGGATAAAACTGTCAATCCAACTTGCTAATCTCGTCTATCCAGTAGTTCAGGTATGTACATTATATTAGCATATCTTGGAAGGTCAAACGTATAAGTTCCCTCTTAAAATTTAATATTTCAAGTTTAGAAAGACCCTTTCACGGTTCTAATTTGGATGATAATCAATTTCAGAAACATTTGAATCTGAATATGTTCGAAAATTACGATTTTAAACTAGACAAAAACAGAAGATATTAGTTCAACTTATAATCAACCTTAAAGGTTTTGAACGGCAGTTTCAATCTAATGTTAATTTCAAATTGACAAAAAAAAAAAAAGTAGAAAAGGAAAAGTTTGAAACCTAGCATGGAACACAAAACTTTATAGACATAAGGTCTCGGATTAAAATCTAAAAGGTCCTGAACTACTAGTTTAGCCAGACTTACATATAAAGTCCGAACTCTTTAAATAAATAATCTAAAAGGTTTTGAACCAATGATTTAATGAATGACTAGACTTATATGTGAAACTCAGAACTTTTTGAGTGACTCGATTTAGAATTTAAAAGTCTTGAATTGATTTAATGAGTGACTGGATTTAGAATTTAAAAGTCTTGAATTGATTTAATGATTGAATTGATTTAATGAATGATTAGACTTAGGTGTGAAATCCAAAATTTTAATGACATATATATTACACTTCGACTGAATAGAATTTTGTTGATATTATGCACGACTATCTTTCACTCAGTATCTCTCAATTTACGAGGGTATCAGTTTATGGTATTTCATTAAATCTGTCACTTAAAACGTCTAAACTTACATTTTTATAACACAAAACTACCCGCACCTTATCCCGGTGAAATGCAAGTGACGTGGCGACTAGGGTGCGTGAAAAAATAAAAATAAAGCGTAGCAGAATTCTCTCTCCTATACATTCTTTCAGTCTCTCTCTCTCTTGCTTTTTCCTTGTTACCTCGGCTCCCTCTCTCTCCATCTCTATGTTTCCTAACCCATATCACAGTCCTATCCAACCCGCCACTCTTCCGTCTCTCTCTCTTTATCTCTGCAAACTGTTTGTACATACGACTCCAAAATCAAAGTTCCTTCCTATCTGCATTCTTTCTCCATCATATTGACTCAACCCTACAAAACACTGCAAAAGAATTCTCAAACATCAAAATAAGAAAGGCAAATCATCATTCAAAGAAAACCTCAAAGATTTCCTCAAAGAATTTCCAAATGTTGCTTCGACTCTTCACGGGCACTCTTCTTGATAATTATAAAATTAGTGTTTTCTTGATAATTATAAAATTAGTGTTTCCAAGCAAAGAAAGCTTCGAAGATCGCCTAGGACTTGAAACCACCTCCACATCATTGCTCAACCCCGGTGAAATCTCAACCCCGAAATAGGAGTCGCACTAATTATAGATTTCCAATCAGATTTTATGCAATTAATTTTGGACTTATTGTTTTCATTATTTAAATTTTTGAATCCTTTGAATCAGAAGTCTCCGGGAGTGATTGAGAAGAGTGATTAGAGGTACTGCTAAATGCGTGTTTTTCCTTGATTTAGGCTCCTTATGTTTCCGGAAATAACTTACGTTTCGAAAATATTTTCTTAGATATTTTTCAAGAAAAATGTTTGTTTTGTTGGGATTTGAAAATTAGTTAAAAATGTTAAAATTTTTAACCTATAAGACTATAAAAATATTAATAATAATATAAATATTGTATTTTTACAAATTTTATTTTATATATAAGAAGAATGCAAAAGAAAAGGTAAATTATGAAAGTTGTCGGTGGTGACGTTGGTGGCTAGCGGTAAATGGTGACTGGTAGTAGTTGTTACTGATAATTAATAATTTGTCAATGTTGGAACATATTCTACAAAGTTATTTTTCTTAAAAATGATTTAATTTTCCTTTTGACCAATAAAAATATTTTCCATTGATTTATTTACTGAACAACCAAATAAAAATATTTTCCGTTGATTTATTTTGCTGAGCAACCAAACAACGGAAAATAAATTGTGGAAAATATTTCAAAGGAAAATAATTCAAAGGATTCACCTCGCAAAATAATGAAACTTTTAGTTTTGCTTATTCCTATTTTGGGTGTGGGGTTATTTGGTAATAATTGGTGGGTGTTAGTTTTTGAGGCGAAGTTATAAAGGGCTTGAGGCATTGTCACAGTCAGAAAGAAATAAAGAAGTTGCAAGTCATTGCATCCAGGAATGTAAATTTGGAAATAGATTTTGAGTTCTTCTCAATCTACAGTGGGACATTCTAATTATTTGTGACTCCTAATTTTTCTTTTTAATTTGTAGTTAACATATTTGATGAAATTATTTAGATTAGATGTGTACTGATTAGAAGATTGAAAGGAGGAGAAGTCTGATGGGTTTATCTATTGGCAATGGAGTATTGGATTAATGGTGGTGGCAGGGAGGGATGTGTGATTGAGGTTTCTCAAATGGGTAGAAAATTAGAGATAAAGAGGAGAGAGAAAATAATTTACCTGAGTCAAATGATGATGTGGCTAGAGAGAGAGGAAAATAATTTACCTGGAGGTCAATGATGAATGTGGCTAATAAAAAATTGATTTTTTATTACTCTTTCCATGGTTCATGTTAACATTCCGATGTAGTTTTTGCCGTATGCATAGCTAAGCCCCCTTTACTGTTACACAAAGTAGAAATTTGAGGGAAAGTTAAAAATGACCATCAAAGGCTGGGAGGGAACGCTAAAAAAAAAAAAAGTAATAGAAAAATATTTTATTGGACGTATCTATCTCCTACAATCATGTTCTGGTTTACTTCTGCAGGAAGGATTTAGTATCATCATGCTGAACCCAGATTACTTGATGTTGGGTGCGATGGGCTACCTAATACCGCCGATACTCTTCCAGTAAATGCTACACATCGCAGTGGGTTATTGGAGAAATGCTACACATCGAGTGGGTATTGGAGCTTTTGTAGTAAATGATAACAGAGAGGTATTTACTGGTTCTTGTCACTTAACTTTTGGCTTTGAGTGCTGGTTGAAGATGGCTTTTGGTGCAATGAAATATCTCCTATTTTCGGAACTAGGATTGGTTTTTTTTTTTATTTTATTTAAATCTCTATATTATGTGTTTGCTATTACAGCCCATTAGCTACAACTTCTAACTTTGAAGCCAAATTGTTTCATTTTATAGGTGCTTGTAGTTCAGGAGAAGGGTGGTGCATTTAAAGATACAGGTTTATGGAAGCTACCAACTGGGGTTGTCAATGAGGTGAGAATACGAGTGCAGTTTGACTCTGTTTTTTTATCTTTTTATATGATATTTTACATCAATAAACAGAAATTTTCCTTCTTCAGGGAGCTTCTTCAGGGAGAGGATTATCTGTTAAAGCTGGCAGGTTCGGGGAGGTTAAAAGAAGAAAACTGGAGTAAGAAATATAGATTCTGTAGACTTAAAACAAGACAAATATGAGTGTTATTGCCCTAGAGTTTGATCCATTTTTAACTTCGATAATATTTTAGTGTTTTGCATTAAACTATTGTGGCAATTATAAACCATAAAATCTTCCCAATTTCTTTTGGTTTTCTTACCAAATTGATGCTGACATTTGTGGAAATTTTAGCATTCAGGTTTGCTATTTATACACACATATGAACTTCCTTCCCGTTGAATTTTCATGCAATACAAAAGAAATTTTAGAAGTCTTGTTGCAATTTTCATCATTAAGAAAAAAGTCTATTAATTCAAGAATCCATTGCAGCTTGTTTATTGGTGCTTCTGAAGTTTGATTCTGTCTTTTGATTTATTTTATTGCTTATTGATCACAGGCAAAGTCACCAATCACTGTCTTTAGCAAAAATCAGATTTATTTTTCGTTGTTGTTACACCAATATCCCTTGCGATCCAGAAGCAAGAGTCAGAGGTTGCAGCAGCCCCAGAGGTTGCAGCAGCCCAGGTACCATTTCTTAATAAATAATCTACTAATCATATATTATTTCATTAGTTCCTTCACCTATGAGTGTAAATGAGCCGAGCGAGCTTGAACCTGTCAAACCCGAAGCTCGGCTCGATAGAATTTAGTTCAGCTTAAGTTTGGCTCGAAACTCAACGAGCCTGAAAATTTTAAACTCGAACTCGACTTGAGGCTCGAGTTTAACTCAAAAAAATTTCAGTTCAAGCTCGGCTCGAGGCTTAATGCTCAAACTGCTCGTGAGTTGGCTTGGCTTATTGACACTCCTACCTTCACCCATGAAAAATATTATATAAAGAT